AATGTTTTGCTTGAAGCGAATTAGGCCTAAAGAATTATTAAGTTTTGCAACAAAACTTTCTTTATTATCACTGAAAAAATACAAGTAAATTTAAAAAATTAATGTTATTTGACAAAACTGTTTAAGAATATTTAGTGGTTATTACTATACTATACTATACAGGATGAATCTTAAATGAGTGCAAATATTTTTAGGGGTGGAAACATGATTGCGAATTTTTTTTTTGGAAAATTTTGAATTTTGAATTTTTTTTTTAGTTTTTAGTTAAAAAAACATAATTTCTTGATAATATGGCAACATAGATAGTGGAACAAAATTTACAAGAAAGAAAACCCAGAAATATAGAAAACCCATAAACCTAGAAAGAAAATTATGTTTCTTGTATCGAGATCTAAAAGCCCTGAAAATATCTTCACTTATTTAAGACTCATCTTTTATATTCTCATAAATTAACTTTCCGTTTCCGAAAAGGCCCAGTCGACGAATTAAGCCATGGTTTCAATTTTTATTTACTGGACTATAAACATTAAATCTAATTTTGTATCTAGTCAAATTCCATGATTATTATTTGAACTTCATTAAATACAATGATAAAAGCAATGCTTCCTTAATGGTCTATAATAGGACAACAATTTTTAAATGGATTGCTCTTAATCGCTTCAGATCAATGTATCATTCCTAGCCCATAGCGTTTCCGTTCCAACTACCGGACTGTGTATTCACATATTCAAACACAAATCGTTTCAGTTTGCTTCAGTGCTTCAGTGTGCAAGTGAAGTTTTTCAATTTTTCTCGTACACAAACCAAATCAAAATACGTTCATTGGGCACAATTTACCTCTATACAACAGTGCTTCGTTTGTCCATCAGAGGGCATTATATGAGGACTGTTATTTGACAATATTTACTTCATCTTTAGTTTATAGTAAAAACGTTCGCGATTTAGTTTTATTTAGCCACATTTTGACGTTATTCATTGAATATTTTTATTAACAGCTCTAATTCATATTATGTTAATGAATTTTAAGTCAAAATTTAGAAGTTTATTTGTATGAGTTAAGAGCTTTCAATTTATACTGTACCATCAAAAAGAAACGGCGTTCAATTGGCTTGAAAATTACGATCAATGACATTCCCCATATAATTTTACATACAAAATAACAGCAATCTTCATTTCCAAGCCACCTCTGATGCCGTTTTTTTCGATCGTATGGTATTATACCAGATTATACTACCCTTTATGGAGTCTAGCAGTTTGTCTAGCAGCAACAATTTACATCAAAGTTAGCACACAGGATATAGGTATAATTTCTAACACCACACATTCCAGAAACTCACAATTTAAACACAAAAATAGGATTTCTGTTTGAATAGATCAAACACGAAAATGGGTTTAGGAATAAAGAACAAGCGCCTTTCAACAAATTTTCACCTATAATTTTGTCACAAATTTTTCATTGTGAGACCGTGAGTCGTTCGTCGTTTTTCGACATTAGTTGAGGTTAGGATAGAATTTCTGCTAGAACAAGGCTAGAACTATGAGTATAAGAAAAAACTAAGTCAAACTCAACCAGTTTTGTTAGTTTCAGTCATTTTAAGCCCATTCAATATCGACAAACGACCGAATTCACCTCGAATTTCACTAAATCAAGGAACTGAATAATACACGATGCAAAAACAAACAACTGTCGAGATGGATTGTTGGAATTTTTTTGCGCGGACGTTTTAAATTCTCTGTATTACTGGGAGTGGCCAAGCTCATAAATATCCAGATTATCCAGAAGATACCAACAGGATATTTTGTTGCCTTGACGTAATATATATCTATCTGTATGGTTTATTGCATTTTATGTAATATAAAAAGTAGTACATTATTAATTTTTCCTAAATATCTAGACGATATTGTTAGGATATTTTATTATCATGAGCATGTTTGGATATCTCAGCTGGATGTACATTAGATATGCGACAGAGATATCCATAGGATATTCTACTCTGAGACATCTACAGGATTTCAGGATGTCTGGAGGATATCCTATAGATGTCTTTATAAGATGATCTTATAATGGGACATTCCGACATTCTATGAATATCCTGCGGATATTGTGTGTTATATGGGCTGTTTCTCTATATTATTTATGTAGGCATAAATCTGGTTATTGAGTGAAATAAAATACTTCAAAATACCAAAGTGTTATAAATTCAGTGAAAAAACGGGCTAAGTCACGACCATTCACCAATAAATTTTTGATTTTTCTATTAATTTTTTTTCTAAAAGAGAAAACTTTATGACTCAAAGAACCGAGATAGTTAGGGAACATATGGGTAAAAGAAGAATTTTTTAAATTGAAATATTGTATTTTTTGCAACGTTTTGAACTTTAAAATTGCTTTATCTCAAAATCATAAAATTTGACTTAGCCCGTTTTCCCCCTGTACCCTTCAAATTATATTTGACAATAAGCATTATAAAAAGATTAAGAAATTTATAAATTTTAAATTAATAAACGTTCGGGTTTAATTTTTATTGATGCCCTCTAACGGACAAGCGAAGCACTTTTGTATAAGGGTAAATTATGTAAAATTAACTTATTTAGTTTCAAAAAATACGTAGTTCTTCTATGTCCACGGAATATTGGAACTCCTTGTATATTTTGTAGGTCTGCTTTGGAAAAACAATTTCTCCAAAAATGTTTTTTCTCAAAAATTATGCGATGTGACGCTTCTTTCTCTTCGACAGATTTTCTTTCTACGAAAAGAAAATCTGTCGTCGGTAGAGTTGGAAAATATTTTACTAAAATTTATTTAGGGGTGGGGGTAGTTTTCACCCTCCTCTTACTTTTTCTTGATTTTTGTGAAAGTCAAATGTTAAAGCTAGCGATGGGAACTATCGAATGAATTAGACTATCGAATGGTTACTGAATGAATGATTTCAACTATCGAATGGTTTTATTCGAATAAAATCATTCATTCATTTGTATACTAAAGCATATGTGACAACCTCGCCGTGCGACTAAATGGTTATCGTTGAGCCACGACTATCGAATTTTTTTGATAAATGAAATTTAGTATTCGTTTGATTTTTGTGTGCGTCAGTGCATTATTAGTTCTTCCAAATTTTTATAACTTCACCTTATAAATACTGTGCTATTTTTGCGTTTATTAAAATATTTAAAATACTAAAATAGTAGTTTTTTTTTAATTGACGATTGTGTGCGTGTGCAGGTGTCAAAATTTTTCCGAAAATTTGTGTGATTTTCCGTAGCCCGATCTTTCAATTATTTTATTTTATATGGTCTATAGGTCTATTTTTTAATGGGAAATTTTAAAAATACATATTTGTATTTTAGATGTTTTAATAATACGAATTAGTTGAACTTAATAATCATATTTAAGTAATGTGGTTAAGTAAATGGTTCTCGAACTCTAACTATGGGGGTGAGAAAATTAAATTGAAAGTTTTACACGTGCCAATTTAAAAAAAAAGTTAACAATGTTTGTTTTTTGTTTATACTAATTCCCACTTGCACCGTTTGTATAAACTTTGTTTAAAGGCTAAACAGTGATTAACTATACATATTTTATTGTAGTTAATCACTGTTTAGCCTTTAAACAAAGTTTATACAAACGGTGCAAGTGGGCATAATTCTCTTACATGTAGTTTTTTGCGAAGAAATATTTCATTTATTTTTTAAAGTAAATGCCAGTAAAAGTAAATATTATTTTTAAATAGTAAATATAAAGTACCTAATATAAATAATTTTGATTTCTAATTTTTTATTTATATTTTCCTTCCATTACACTGCATGCTTAGAAAATTAATAAATGTTTATATTTCATGATTTTAAAGTTTGTTGTTAATATAACAAATTAGTTCTGTAATTATTATTATTTAATAAACCAACGTTGCCACAAAAAATTTAAAGACTATATTATTTTTAAATAGGATATAATATAAATAATTTTGACATCTAATTTGTTGTTTATATTTTGCTACTACGTAAAAAAATGTTTATATTAAATTATTTTAAATTTTGTTGTTATAGGTATAACAAATTATTACTGTTATTATTATTTTTATTAAACCAGTCTTTGCTTAAAAACATTAAAAATTATTTTCCTACATCCAAAATATTTTATTATCTAACCTAACCTAACCTAACAACAGAATATTAATAAAAAAAATGCAAAATATTTATACATACCTACTATCGCTAACTAACTAAAGCCAAACAATAATATTCTTTGCTAATATCAACTAATACCAATATATGGCAACAGCGCCCTTCATAATGTATTTTCTGTGTAAATACTAGCACCTCAATAAAAAAAAATAATGTGTCCTTATCTTTATATGACTCCGCAAAAAATCAAAGATGCCGGCTTCTTTCATAGCATTGCCACCGACCGCTGTCGGGTTTCTCGGAAAGAAACCTACGTCGCCGGGCGACAACTAAAATCCAGTTAATATTTTATTATAATCGATCCTGACGAATAAATGAATTTGATAAATGAATGAATTTTATAAATGAATGGTTTTTGCTACCGAATTACTAGAATACAATATTTCAAGGCAGATGACGCATCTATTCGATAATTTTTATTCGAATAGTTTTCAACGAATGTTTTTTTTACTAGCTATCGAATCATTCGAATGAATTGCAACTATCGAATGTTTCGATAGTATTCATTCGATAGTTCCCACTACTAGTTAAAGCCACTTAGCAAAACATAGTCCCCCAAAATCTCATTCAAATCGGAATAACGGTTCTTAAGATATCTGAAAAAATAATGTGTTTATTTTTTTAAAAGTTTCATGTCCTCTAGCGGACAAGCGAAGCACTATTATATAGTGGTAAATTGTATCTAATGAACTTATTTTGATTCCAAAACTTCGTAGTCGTTCTATGTCCGCGGAATATTGGGACACCCTGTATAACCTGCAATGTTACAAACAATTTACATAACTCTCTTACTCACTGAACACTATTCTTCTTTTTAGGCAAAGACGCCGGTCCCACAATCGTCGCCGTCAAAACCCTGAAAGAGAACGCCAACGAGAAGGAGAAATCCGACCTCCTGTCCGAGCTCCAGGTGATGAAAATGCTTGAACCGCACCCGAACGTGGTGAAATTGCTCGGTTGCTGCACGGACAAGGAGCCCGTCTTCCTTATTATGGAGTACATAACGCGGGGCAAGCTGCAGAGCTACCTGAGGAACTCGAGGGCGGAGCGCTATTACAATAATATGCACGGCAAGAGCAAGTCGCTCACTTCGAGGGACCTCACGTCGTTCTGCTACCAGGTGGCGCGGGGGATGGAATTCCTGTCGGCGAACGGGGTGAGTTATTAATGCGGTAGCTTTATTAAGTGAGCTTAGTATACCGATGTAAGTCAAAGGTTATTATTATTTATTTATTTCTCTATTTCTCAGCATCTGTAGCTCCTAACATATAAAACTTAGGAATTTTATTTAAGTGCAAATTAATTTGAAGTATGTATTGCGGGAAAATATAACTTAACCTCTACAGGGTGACTCAAAACAGTGTGAGTGGATAGGGATGATTTTTTTTAAATAAAACACCCTATACCGGGTGCCTCTCGAGCATAGACAAACTAACAAAAGCAAGACTTTTCAAAGGATTGAGGAAGTCGAATTATTGTTTTTGCGCTGGCCAGTTGAGTCAGAAATCATCGCGCAGTCGCACTCGTCAAACCTAACCTAAATAAAACGAAAAACGTTTTTGCCTTGAACCATCCTTGAACGAACTGTTGAATTCCTGATTTTGCGTTTTGTTTGGTTATTACTATTATTTTATTAGCGTACAAAACGAAAAAACAAATAATTTAATACATTTTACATTTATGAAGAACATAATAATTACTGTGATTATACATATTATTGTGATTACATTAACGTAGACAAAACGAAGGTCCTACAAATTGACTGTAAGTTATAAGAATCTTTATCTTTTTAATCTTTTTATGATTTGAATTTTCGTGCTTTATATTTTATAATAGACTCGAAATGTTAATATTTTGCAAATTCTTGTGAAAATGTGAAGTTTATGTTTTTGTTTTATATTTGAAAAAGTTGTATATTTTTAAGATGTTTCTTGTTGTTCCTATTATTAATATTATGATATACATAATTATTTTTTTGTACCTTTTGAAGAATAATGCTTTTATTTCGTTTACCATAACTGTTGTTTTTCTATCATCTTTTTTGTTACTTTAATAAGAGGAATACGTTTTCGTTTATTTAACTTTTGTTTTTATATCTGTTATGTCCAGAAATTATTGTTTATTTTACCGATGGAAATAAATTTATTTGATTTTAATAAACGCTTTTTAATTAAACATCCTTGTCTAAAAGGCTACTACAAAATACACAATCCATAAGTAAACCGTCCTCGTCTAAAAGGCCAGTTGACGCAAGCGCGGTAATAAACTCTTATCAAACTTGTTACCGTTTTGCAGTACAGCGTTGACGCGTCTTGCTTTTGTTAGTTTGTCTATGCTCTCGAGGCTCCCCTCTATAACTTTTTTATTTTTTCAGATACAAAAACGGGATTTGGTATATTAGTACAAGACATAAATTAGGATTGATTGACCTATTCAATTGTTTTTGGTCACTTCCTGTTTTACCGGAAACGACTACAACTTTTGATTTTCAAATGGTACCCTCGGTATTTTTTTACTTTATTCGATAGAAAATGACATTCTGAATAGAATGACATATCATATGTAAACTTTTGACATTCTCGCTTAATAAAAAATCGTATTTTAAAATTCAATCTAGAGTGCCATGGCTACGTCAAAAACACTAGTTCTTAATCAATGTTTTTAGTGTCTTGTCCTGACCAGTTATGGAAAATGCACAAATCGTATTTTTAATCATATCTCAATTTTTTAAAATGCAACGAGGGTAGCTCATTAGCATATTTCGAAAAAGCATTTTTTTACGAATAATTTGATTCCACACACTTGGTATTTCGAGTCAAATTTTCGTCACGGACCGCAACTTATAATTTCAAATAAACCATATAAGAAAATGTCAAAAGGTTTAGTGTCATTCTATTCAGAGTGTAATTTTCCAACCAAATAAAGTAAAAAAATTCCGAGAGTTCCATTTAAAAATTAAAAGTTGTAGTCATTTCCGGTGAAAGAAGAAGTGACCGAAAACAATTGAGTATGTCTATCAATCCTAATTTATGTCATATAAGTACTAACATACCAAATCTCGTGAAGCGAACTGAAAGAATTAAAAAAGTTATAGGGATGAGCCACTTTTGAGACGCACCCGGTATATTTTTGGCTTCCTTTCTGATCACTTTACATCAGGCTTTACATAGTCCTAAGATATTCTTAGATGCGTTTTGATAGTTTCAGAGATATTGATAAATAAATAAATATTTTTTTTTCAGCCACTTTAAAAAAAAATATTAAAAATAGAAAAACTGTCGTGAAAATCAACATATTCCATAGATATTTACCTTAGATGGTTTGTACTTTGCTATTAATATCGTACTTTGCTATTAATATCGTCATCTTAAACCATACAGGGTGTTCAAAATTCTACTCCAAACTTTCTAAAATATAAAATAATTTAAACCTCTATGTTATTTTTTAATAAATGGATAATTAAAAAATTAACATTTTTTGTATTTAGAGCATTTCAAAATTCTTAACGGCTTCGCAGATATTTGCGGTATAATTACATATGATTCTTTCAACGGTAAAATACGAGAGAAAAAATATTGGGTGGCTCTGATAAAAGTTTACTGTGGAAAATGCCATATGAAATATTAAATCAAGAAAATTTATTTCATATTTTACAAAGTTTGGCGTAGAATTTTGAACACCTTATATAATTTAAAATCACAAAATTTTTAGCAAAGTAAGTACATGTCATGTAAAGTAAATGCCTAATATAGTTTTCATCTCAGGACATTTCTTGTATTATTAATAATTTTTTTAAATAGGCTGAAAAATAGAAATGTTTTATTTATTTATTAATATCTCTGAACCTATTGAAATAAGCTTACGTGCATAGAAATCGGCCCACTGTGAACTTTTGGTTTTAACTGTGTCTTTTAGAATCTATTTATCATGGCAAGTAAAAAATATGAGCTGTTTCAAAGACAATTTAACATGCTTTAATATGAGCATAAATTTATTCAGGGTACTTATCGTTTATATGCGTACCAAGGTATTTGTGTTGTGGTGACAATAAGAATAACAAACTTGTCAAATATTGCAATTACTATCTTTGTAATCGAAATTTTCACATTGTCCTTTTATTCTTTGATTAGTTGTGTTTCATTGTTTGATTAGTGTTTCAATTTAATGCATACATCACCGGAAAAAGCCGCCTAAGTAATCGCTTTAATCGAAAATGGACTTCAACAGAGAGCTGTAGCTCGGCAAGTACATATGACACGCGGAGTGGTTCGAACAGTGTGTGAACGATATGAGGAGACTCCATCCTTTCGTAGTCGACCTGGAACTGGTAGAAAGAGATATACAACGGATCGTGATGACCGATTTATTGTGTCAACAATGTTAAGAAATCGGCATCTTAATGCTATTCAGGTGCAATAACAGCTCCGTGAAACACGAGGAGTGACTATTAGTCAGTGGACAGTAAGACGAAGATTGAAGGAAAGTAACATGACCCCCAAAACACCCGCAATTGGTCCAAAACTTACCCCAGCTCATCGTCAAGCACGCCTACGTTTTGCACTGGAACATCTGAATTGGACACTAGAACAATGGGAATCTGTTTTATTCTCAGATGAGACCAGGATATGCCTCTATGCTATCGACCAAAGAAGAAAAGTGTACCGGAGGCAAGGTGAGCGATTCGCAGAATGCTGCATTGAGGAACGGATTGCTTATGGAGGTGGTTCCTGCATGATCTGGGATGCAATTTCTATAACTGCGCGAACCGACCCAGTTTTCATCCGTTGGGGCGACCGTCGGTACGGGAGAGGAGGTTTAACTGGTGCTAGGTATATTGAGGAGATTTTAGCAGTTCATGTGGTACCTTACGTCGACTACATTGGAAACGAATTCACTTTTATGCATGACAATGCGAAGGCACACACATCAAGAACCGTACACGATTACATTTCAGAAGTCGGATTTCGAGTTATGGAATGGCCAGCATGCAGTCCAGACTTAAACCCGATAGAACATTTATGGGATGAGCTAAAACGAACAATTCGTACTAGACGAAGAGCCCCAACTTCTATCCCAGAGCTCATTGTTGCAGTAGAGGAAGAGTGGCTTAACATCCCGCAAGAAACAATATCAAATTTGATCGAATCTATGCCAAATCGTATGAGAGATGTTGTTAGAGCAAGAGGGGGTCATACCCATTATTGAAAATTTAGTTTAGTTAATTGTCCATAAATAAATAAATAAATAATAACATACCTCTTAGTAATAAAAAACGATATAGTTGGTCTGCACTGCACTTTGCTATAAATATCGCAATTTAAACCATACAAGGTGTTTAAAATTCTGTGCCAAACTTTCTAAAATATAAAATAATTTTTCTTCATTTTTTTTTTTCATTGAAAACCCTGTATTTATATCTTTTACATCTAGATGAAGAATTAAAAAATTAACTTTTTTCATATTGAAAGTATTTCAGAATGACTAAACTATTTTATTAATTTTACGAAGCGAAAGAGTCAGTCAAATAGAAAATAATGCAGTTTTGTGAGGGTTTTAGAGAATTTATGTCCCCATTTTTTTCAATAAGTTTACATTTTGTTTTTATATAGATTTTTTAGGTTTTAATTTCTTCAATTGCTGTAATGAACTGATATATTTTACAAGTGATAAATCTTATTTGAATAAGAATACCGTGCCAAGTGAAATTAGTAAAAAAAATTCTTTCCCCACTTGATCGACTCTCTATCTTCCGTAGTTTCAGACATATGACCATAGAGATAATCGAAAAAAAAACTTACCCTGTATATTTCAGAAGGTATGAAATTGAAAACGGAATCTGGGAGATAAGAAAGTGTAAGTGGTTTACTGCTCGCCACTTTCCACAAGTCTTATAACAGGATTAAGGCAAATTTTTCCTTGTTTCCAGATAATCCACCGGGATCTGGCAGCCAGGAACATTCTCATCACGGACGAGCACGCGTGCAAGGTCGCCGACTTCGGTTTTGCACGTGACGTAATCGCCTCGCACGTCTACGAAAGAAAAAGCGAAGGTAAGCAAGCAAATTCAGTGGTGTAATTGAAAAAAACTCATTGTTTTTCTTGTGGAAACTTCGGCAGCATATTCGGCTGATAAAAGTAAGTAATAAGGTTCGTATAAATGTATGTTCTAAAATGCTTAGTTTCGGAGGAGATACGGTATGTAGAAATTTCATTTTTGTTTTGATTTTTTTCATATAATTTCTGAAATAACGTCAACATTTGAATGAAAATTGAATTTTTGACATGAGAAATTGGATTTTGATGTCAATATGACTCTTATTTGTAGGGGGCGCCACCTACACGGTTTACTGTTTTAAAGAATAATAACTTTTCGTCCGTACCTGTATAAAGCTACTAGTGTCTCAGAGTGAGTGGTATCAAAATAGCAATTCTGCTAATTAGAGTTCGACAAGCGGTCGCACTCGCCACTTCAACCAACCAACCATATAGTTATTTGACTGAAATGATAAATTCGGGAACTTTTTATTTTTTTAAATTAATCATAAATTTTTCTTTGTAAAAATGATGATAAAACAGTTTCTGTTGAACTTTTAGCACAAAAACATTTCAAATTTATGGTTTCAGTCTAATAACTATTTAGTCAACGTATTTAATTTATGTCAATGAAGACAGGTATTGATAATTTTGATTCCAAATATCTCGAGAACCATTACTTGTAGCGATTTTTACCAGGAGGCCTTGGAAATATGTAGGTTGCGCCCTCTACAAGTAGGAGTCATATTGACATCAAAATCAAATTTCTCATGTCAAAAAATTTCCAAACACCAATCACAGTCACACCAATTATTCACGTTACTTAATAAATTATTTGAATAAAATCGAAATAAAAATGAAACTTCTACATCCTGTATCTTCAAAACTAAGCATTTTAGGGCATACGAACTTTTTACTTATTTTTATGTGCAGAATATGTTTGCATAAGTTTCCAAAATACAATTCGGACCACCCTGTATTTAAATTCAGTCTGTCTGGGCCATGAGCGTAGCTAGGGTTTGACATAGAGTGACGCAAAGAAAATGTCAAATGTCAGTGCCAAATTCTGTCTTACCTTTTTACCTTACTTAGCAAAACAGTATCTTCATTTTAAAAGTAATCAGTCAGAGTTCTGGCTAAAGCTTGAAAAAAAATTGATCTCAAATTTATTTTTCACTTTTTCAACCAATCTGTTTTACATCTACGAAATTTTGGACATGATTATCTTGGAGTTGTGATAAATGATAAAAGCAAAGGTGCTAGTGAAGAAACGAAATAAATTGTAGTAGACTGACTACTTTTTATTGGCGAGCGATAAAAAACAGCCATGAACAAAAAATGTTTATATTTCTTTACTTTTATCAACTAAATTTTTTGCATTGGTCCATAAAACTAGTATAACATAATCAAAAGGTTTCCGGCTTTATACACATATGGAAGTCTTAAATTACTTAAATGGTGTATAAATGAAGAAATTCTCTCAATTTAGTCCGAAATATGTTGATTATCGTTATTATCGTTGATGCTTGTCGTTTCTGATATACCATGTTGCAGATTTTGAAGATAATTTAAAAAATTCTTCTCCAGTTAGTTAATCATTTTATAAACACTGGTTAACTGTATTTACTTTTCTACCTGTCACAGCTCCAATATAAACGCATCGAAGGAGGGTACATTTGAATGGTTATTGCCGCTGTTGTTACTTTCAGGGGTTCGTTAATTTGATAATATACCACCTTTTCAAGTACATATTTTTAATATCATCATCATCATCATCATCATCTATGTCAGTTTATTCAACCATTTCCAATTATGGTGTACCAACTATTTCTCATTGTTGTCTATTGTTGGCTATGCGGGCCCAAGTTATCCCTGCTAATTTTCTAATATCATGGTCCCATATCAGGTTTGGTCTTCCTCTAAGTCTCTCTAATTCCTCGTGGGTACCACGCTCTAATTTTTGTGCTCAATCTGTTGTCCATCCTTCTCGCCAGGTGTCCTGCCCATTGCCACTTGATTCTGTGGATGACATCTATTACCTGGGTATCTTGTCCATTGTCGTATCCACTCTATTCTTTTTGGTCTTTCTGGGTTATTCCCAGCATATTGCAGTTTCCTTAAAATGTCCATTTTGAGTCCAGATTTTGCATGCATAGATCATGACTGGTAGTACACATTGGTTGAATGTTTTCTTGTTTAGATACAGTAGCATTTTAGATTTAAATATGATTGAGTTTCTTCCTTAAGTACTTCATGCTAACTCTTCGGTTGATTTCTGGTAGTAGGGATCCCGAGCTGTGTATTAGTTGTCCCGAATATATTATATGTGTTTTTCTCCTATTTCCAATTTTGTGTTATTTATTAGAATGTCTTTTCTGTCTACTAGTTCGTTGTACATTACTTTATCTTTTACATGTTTTATCTTTGATATAATAAGTATTTTATTTTTTTTTATTATATGACAGATAAATATATCAATACCCAGGCAAACACATTTTTAACATACTCAGTACTCAGCGATATGCTGTCCACCCAAAAATAGTATACACAATGCATTTTATTTCATTGCTTCGCTCGTATATTTGCTTTTAAAGTTTATCACAGCTCCAAAATAAACACGGCCTTACTCTTTCAACGTCAACATTTTCAGAGTATTTTTTCAACCTGTCTATAGTTTAATTACATTGGCTAGAACTTTTATCGAGCTATTTTATGAAATATTTTGTATGTATATAGATTTTGTTTGATTTTACCATTGTTAATTTTTTGTTTATATTATTTTATTATGCCAGGTCGTTTACCAATTCGATGGATGTCACCGGAATCTCTGTACGACAATATATTCTCGGTGAAGTCCGATGTATGGAGTTTTGGAATTCTCATCTGGGAAGTGGTAACTTTAGGAAGCACGCCATATCCCGGAATATCAGCGGCGGACGTAATGAAAAAGGTAGGTACTAAAAATTATTTAAATATAATAATACTTAAATCAGCAGGAACCTCTGCTGCCTATGCTATCCCCGCCGTGGCTCTATGTGGTCGAGATCGAAAATTTGATTTCGATGTCAATGTGACTCCCACTTGTAGGGGGTACCACCTACATATTTTTTAACTGTTTTGAATAGTAATAACTTTTCGTCCATCCCTGTATTACACTACTGAGTAAAAAAAATATATTTACGCCTTACTTTACCTAAAAAATGTCTCTTCGTAAAAATCGCTGCTAGCAACCGTTGTCAAGATATCTGCAATGGAAATAGTTAATACATGTCATAATTGACAAAAATTATACGTGTTGAAGGTATAGTTATTAGTCTGAAATAATAAACTTGCAATGTTTTTGTGCCAAAGATTAAACAAAAACTATGATTAGCTTAAAAAAAGTTCACAAATTTATCATTTCGTTTTTTATCATCTAGTCAACATATTTATTTTTTGCCAATAACAAACGTGTATTGGCTATTTCCATTCCAAATATCTTGAAAACGGTTACTCGAAGATATTTTTACCAAGAGACATTTTTTACCTAAACAGTAGTTTTAGACAGATACCGAGACAGATACGGACGAAAATTTATTATTTTTCGATCCAGTTAAAAAAAGAGTCATATTGACATCGAAATCAAAGTTCTCATGTTAAAAAACCATCAGATACTAATTTTCATGCAAATACCGAATTTAGTTCAGAAATTATTAGGAAAAAATCGAAATAAAAATGAAACTTCTACACCCTGTATCTCTGAAACGAAGCATTTTGGGATATAAGTTTATATGAACTTTTTTATTTATTTTTATGTGCACAATTTTCTGCCAAAGTTTCCGGAATATAGTTCGAACCACCCTGTATATCATATTTTTTTTATTATTTAGATTGCAAGAAAAAACAAGGAAGATTATTTCTAACAATTCGTCCAGACTTCCAAACACCTTATATAATTTAATCATTCCACAATTTTATATCCAAAATACGTTTATTTTAACTTGTAAAGGACTACGTGACATTTCTAATTTTTACCCTCGTTTTTACCTTTTATTGTAAACGAAATGGCGCAAACTTGACCCTGGGGTGCCGTAACAGCGGATAGATATGTATTATCAAGGGATGAATATTTGTCTAGGTCCCTTGTTCAGTTGGAATATTTTGAGATTAGCGAAAGATGTTAGGTTTACATGTTTGTTTTCCCAGCATTTTTGAACATTTTACATAAGCTCTCTAAAGTTAAGATTTTTTAAAGTTTATTTAACTGTTATACTTACGGTACCTGTATGTCTCTTATGCTGGCTGCTGGCTATACTACCGTTATGCACCGAAGTAGAGCTTTATTGACACAAATAACCATAATATATGTGTATGAAAAAAAAACTAATCTTTAACCTTAAGTATGTTAACTTTATTTATAATATCATTAAATGTTTTTAACTGAATTAATCTGTTACTTTATTACTATTTTTGAAAGAAGTCTAAAATAACCACCCAGTTATTTAACTTAAAATAAAAAAAAATATATTTTTTGCTTAAATTTTAATCTTTTCTGGGTTTTCTTTCTTGTAAATTTAATCTACAATTTATTTTGCCAAGTTGTTTATCAAGAAATTATGTTTTTTAACTAAAAAATAAAAAATATTCCAAAATTTTTAGATAAAAATTCCAAATTTTCAATTTTTTTTTCGTTAAACCTCATAGACGTGTTTCTGGAGTCGAAATATACCACCCCTAAAAACATTTGCACCAATTTAAGACTCATCTTAATAATAATTCAAGTAGTTTCCCGTAATTAACATGTTGTATTTTATTGAATTTAAAATGTCATATTATATTACTTTATATCTATTTTTTTGCAGAAAATACTTGTTCGCTGTTAATCACATAATTTTCAGAATCTCTTCTGTTTTTAATAAACGTAGTTAAATAAAAAATATACAGGGTGGTCCGAACTGTTTCCGGAAACTTCGGCAGCATATTCTTCAGATAAAATAAGAAGATTGGTGTCTGGAAGTTTTTTGACATGAGAAATTTGATTTTGATGTCAATATAACTCCAATTTATAGAGGGCGCCACCTACATGTGTTTTAACTGTTTTAAAGAGTAATAACTTTTCGTCCATTGAGTGAAAATATAAAATTTCCGTTACTTTTTAAGTAAAAAAATGTCTCTTGGTAAAAATCGCTACGAGCAACCGTTCTGAAAATATTTAGAATTTAAATAGTCAATACATGTCATTATTGAAAAAAAAATAAACACGTTGAGTAGATAGTTATTTGCGTGAAATAATAAATTTGTGAAATTTTTATTTTTTTTATATTAATCATAAATTTTTATAAAAAATGATGATAAAAAAGCATTTAAAGGGGGCTACAGATGTTCATGCATACTTGACAAGTGTACTTGTGCAAGCGTACTTGTATAAGAATTTTGAACGTATGTAGGAACAAACTTGTACAAGTATTCCGGCTTGTGCAAGTGGCATAGACTTGTACAAATTTTTTTCATGCAAATTTTTTTCAGTGATTTGCGCAAGTATGCATGAACATGTGTATCAAACTTGCGCAAGCCTGAAGTTGATTCTTGTAGGTTTATTGCTTGATTCTTATTTTTTTATAAGATAATATATTATAATTTTTATAAGATAGATAAAAATGGCTAGTAAACATGAAAAAAGTATGCGGGAGGTATTGGCGGAGTTCATTAGTATTTATAGAGAATATCTTTGTTTATGGCAAGTAAAATCAAAGGACTATCATAATGAAAACAAAAGAGAGGCTGCATGTAAAAGTTTAATTAAAAAATTGCAAGAAATTGATAAAACGGCAAACCGCGATTTGATTGTAAAAAAATAAACAGTTTAAGAACAAACACCGTATGATCGAATAAAAACGGCGTCAGCGATGGCTATGAAATGAAGATCGCTGTCATTTTATATGTAAAATTATATGGGGAATGTCAACGATGTTCATTTCCAAGCCAACTGGACGCCGTTTTTTTTTTCGATCATACGGTATTTAGTCAACATTTTAATTTATATCAATGATGACAGGTATTGATAATTTCGATTTCAAATATCTGAAGAACCATTGTTCATAGCGATTTTTATCAAGAGACCTTTTTTAGGTAAAAAACTTCGTAAATGTAGATTTTTTGTCTCAGTAGTTTTATACAGGTATCGACAAAAAGTTATTATTCTTCAAACCAGTCAAAAAATATGTAGGTGTGCCCTCCACAAGTAGTCATATTGACATCAAAATCAAATTTATCATGTCAAAAACCTCCCAGACACAAATTTTCGTCCAAATATTGACGTTAATTCAGAAATTATTTGGAAAAAATCGACATTACAATAAAACTTCTGCACCCTGTGTCTCCGAAACTAAGCATTTTAGGACATACATTTATACGAACTTTTTTACTTATTTTTATGCAGAGTACACTACCGTTTTTCCGTAATACAGTTCGGACCACCCTGTACATATATTAAATTTAATTCGTTACTCCTTATAGATAAGTATTTCGGTAAAACATGATAATATGGTACATTTGGCAAACTAGAAATGAAATAAATTAATCAGGATGTTTCTTTCATTAAATCGTATATTTCGAAATTTATTCAACGGTGATAAATCACGAGCACTTAAATGGCAACGAAACTTTAGCAATAAAATTTAAATTAAATCTAAATTTAATATCAAATTTAATCCAAATTTAAATATCGATTAAGTTTACAATTAATTTTGTCATGTTTTTAGATAGCTTTCGTAATTATAATTTAAATGTATAGAACTATTTTCGGAAGTTTACAATTAATAATTAATTCATCTATTATTTGATATTTTACGTTATTGTAATCTAAATATACAGAGATATCTAAAAAAGTCTAGCGTAGGCTGTTGCTAACATTGTAGTATTATTAAAAAAACATATTTAATGGAATTAGTACATCAGTAATATTAATAATAATATTATAAAAGAATATTATTCTTTTAATTATAAAGCGTTATTTATATTATGCGACAGGAAACCCTACCCCCCGTACTGTTGTTTTAACATTTATATCTGCGTAATTTTTTTCACAAAAAAGTGTTAAAAAAATCAACGCATTAATAGGTAGTACAAGCTATAATAAATTACCCATATACGTTAAGGAAGGTTTATATACAGTTCATACCAAATAAACTTTTAGTCACGTGGTTAATCCTGACCGGCACAGCATTGCCCGCTTTTATATATTTTCTTTTAATCAAAATATTTTAGGAAACATAAATTGATTATAAATATACAAACAGTTATTATTCACACCAACAAAACTCACCTTCTTAACAGCACTGGAGGGACATAAATGGCCATTACTACGATTTGCATTCCTTTTCCTTATTTTATTAATAATTAATAAACTTAATCCCCCTAAAAATATTTGCACTTAATTAAGTCTCACCCTGTTTATATGTAGTCTATGTCTATCGGACTTTCATAATTTAAATAAGTATGATTCGCTTTTTCTTAAAAAAAATGTGTTTTGGATTTTATTTTTAATAGCGTACCACATTTTGCCTGTTACTACATTTGTTAAAAAAGTTTTTGAAAAAATGTGTCTTATTTCGTGATTAGTCCACAAGACTAATTTATTTAGTTTAACAAGAGATGCAACTTGTAATGCTGTTGTATACTGTAAATTGAATATTTAATTTCTATTAAAATACGGAGAAATGGTTACGAATTTGTAAAAGCTAGTTGTACTATAACCATACAATACATAGTTGCACTATAACCATGCAAATTTCAAATATTCTGGTTACTGGTCGATTTTAAAAAATACAGAGGCGGCAAAATTGACAGAAAGTTGTTTTGGTATTTTGCGAATTTGCATAATTTAAATATTCACTGCGAATTTTGAATTTTTAGGTTATAATATGCCATCTCTTGTCATTTATTTATTGTTATGATTATAATAATATAATCAATGGTTAATTATGAAAAAAACTGTACTTAATAATTATTATGTAGGTATTTATTTTTTTACAATCTAATTGAATTTTTATTTAAATTGTAGTGCGAAGTTTAATGTTTTGACTACAAACTGGTAATGTTTTAATGTAAAACTTTTCAAAAACACCGAGAATTGGAAAATACTTCTATTATAGACATTCTATGGTAGTTTCTTATTTTTTTATCGTTAATTCTCATTTATTGCACTAAATTGTGATATGCTCCTTGCCGTTTTCACTTTTTAAATATTACACATGTTCCAATTATTCTATGTATTTTATTTTTGTTATTTTTCTTATTAATAAACTAGTTGAAGCCTGGCGCATCCGCCACGACATCAGGAAAAAAAAACTTTTTATTTTATTTTTTAATTAAATGAAAAACAAAAAATCCGGCTACGACAGTTTTTAGAAGAGCCAATTAGCTATCTTTTAGTAAAAAAAGCAACTTTCTAGAACAAGTCGTTACTTCAGTAGAGATGACACAGATTAACATTAGCATTTTATATATGTAGATATACAGCAATCTCCTACGTCTTCTACGCAAAAATGTAACTTCTACGCAAAAAATAAGTAATTTTATCCATTATGCAAAATACAGGGTGTCAAAAAAATAGTGAACCTAACTTTGGTGGGTGATTCTAGAGTTAAAAATAAAACAAAAAGTTCCTATGAATATATGCCCTAAAATGCTTCCCGAAGAAGTTACAGCCCTCGAAAGGTCAAATCAAAATAATGTATTTTGTTCATTTTTAAGAACACATTTTAATGCCAAAGCGAATGGCGGTAGTATACAATTCTGTAACAGCCCTGAAAGGTTACTTTCCATTAGGGTAGAGAATAATACTGGTGGTACTTCCTTTATCCTTGTAGATTCCGTAACTACAATAAATGAAAATTATAGCTAGGACTTTTTTATGAAAAAAAGGTGCTCTTCCTTTCTTTCGAAACGGTGAACGGTTTTCAAGATATTTACATTTAAATGTTCCGATGCATCGCTTTTAGCATTAGCGAAATCAGCAGATAAATTTATTTATTAATTTCTTTACATTTGATCATATTACTAATAGTAAAATCGATGCATCGTAATCTTTAAACGCAAATATCTTAAAAACCGTTCGCCTTTTCGAGCTAAACGAAGAGCACCTGTTTTATGTAAAAGTATCCTAGCTTTGTGTATCATTTATTGAAATTACTTTATCTATAAGGATAAAAGAAGTACCAGCAGTAATACACCCTACGCTAATGGAAAGTACCCTTTTAAGGCTATTACGGAAATTTTCGCAATTGCCATTCGCTTTGGCATTAAAATGTGTGTAAGAGTACCAAATTTCAAGAAAAACGGTTTGCTTATGCTCTTAAAAATTAACAAATTATATTATTTTTATTAAACCGTTCCAGGGCTGTAATTTCTTTGGGAAGCATTTTATAAATTAACCATTTACTATTTTTATCTATAGAATCATCCACCCCTCAAAATCCACCCCCACAAAGTTAGATACACTTTTTTTAACACCCTGTTTGCTTATAAAAATAAACCTATGTAAAATAACCAAACGCCATCACAGCATAATAGAACGAAAATGAGAACTGGAGACAAAAATAAAATACTTCATTCAAGTTACATTTTCAACGTGTGTTTCAAAACACAAATATCCCTAGAATTCATTACGAATTTTGCTAACATATGAACTGCGTAAATAAGAGACGGTTTTATTTTGCGATATTTGGTATTGCATTTCGCAATTCGCGTGTATATGAACCTAAGTTTAACCCTCTTGCAAATTTTAAAATAAATATTTACCATAACAAAAATAATGAAAAATATCCCTTATTGTTTCCTTTTTTCTTTTAAAAATGTTATGTCTGTTCGTGCTTTTAAGACCATATTTTAGTCCCAAACCTTTACGCATATACGTTAACCCTCTTAAACCACCTAAAACATTCATTACCATTACAGGTCCGCGATGGATATCGGCTGGACAAACCCGAACACTGCCGCAGGGAACTCTACAATATCATGTATTACTGTTGGGACAAGGACCCGAAAAAGAGGCCTTCCTTCACCGAGCTGGTAGAGCTGTTGGAGAAACTGATAATGACAGAGACTGATTATATCGAATTGGAGAGGTTCCCCGATCATTCCTACTACAATATGATGAGCCTCAGCGGAGAGAAGCTTTGACACAGAGTGTCGCTAGTGTAGGTTACTAGATAAAAAGCGTAAAAAAATCTAGATCACAATATACTTATGTGAGTAAATAGAGAACCAAAAAACTGTCGTAAACATATCCACGACATGCCACTAGGTATATTATTTCTTTGTTGCACTCGCGGTACTGCTGCTCTATCTATATTTGGTCGGCAACTAAGGACTACGCGCCGAATTTGAAAATATGAATTTTAAAAATCAATAAGAACTATAAATTAAGAAACATAAAATTAACTTATAACCGAACACACTTGCATCCTTTGTAATGTAAAAGTGTTAATCTTCATTCAGAACCTGGCAATTAGTAGAATAAATTAGTGGTTTCCATTAGCGTAGAAGTTTGTTCCTTTAATTTCAATGTATGCATTCAGAACCTCAAAATTAGTGGTAGGCATTTTTAATTAGTAGAAAAAGTTAACAAACCTTTAATTTTTCAACTAATTATACTTCAAAATTGACATTTCTCGCAAATGTCATTTTGGCCTTTGATTATCTTCCGTCAAGAGAAATTGTGGTTAAAAATCAAAAGTTGATTGTTTTATAAGTTAAATATTAGGTTTTCTATATGGATTCAACTGACTAATGCAAGCTGTTGCTAGAATATTCTATTAATTTTAATTGTGTTTGTTAAACATTGTGAATGATCGTAAACTAGAAAGTATGCAATGTAATTGAAACCACTAATTTATATTTTTTACGATGTCTAAATAAACACAATTAAAATTAATAGAATATCCCAGCAAGAGCTTGCGGTAATGAGTTGTATCCATAGAGAAAGCCTAATATTTAGCTTATAAAACAATAAAGTTTTAATTTCTAATCACATTTTTACTTGACGGATGATATAATTAAATGCGAAAATGACATTCCTCAAATTTTGAAGTATAATTAGTGGAAAGTTATAAGTTTGTTAACTTTTTCCACTAATTGAAAATTCCTCCTACTTACTTACTTACTTACTGCAATTACTCGCTGACGAGTATTTGACACGCATCCAGACACGGCGTTTCCTGTCATGAGCTTCTCTGTGACTGAAAAGCCCGATATGTGATATTATCTCTCTTCCGCACTCCGAACATTCAAAAATCACATTATTTTGTTGCTTCTTTACTTTTTGGTTGTCGTTGTTAACTGAGTTTCAATTCTTCCCCATTGCATTCTATTGTGCGCTGCTTCTTCCCTCTGATTCTACATGCTTACCCCTTTTAAGTTTTCATGGAAAATATCCTCGTACCTTTTGGGTTTTCCACCCCGTTTCCTCTTACCGTCTACAAACTTACCGAAAAGAAGAGATTTCGGTAGGCAGTTTTCTTCCATTTTGTATACGTGACCAGCCCTGAACGCTTTATAAGTGCAACAAAGAAGATATGAAAATGGCACGTCGTAATATTAGATACACCCTTTCTAATGCTAATCTTATAGCGATGTTATCCACGTAAGTATATATGATCTAGGGTAAAATATCAGAATGTATAGATAGTAGAGCATTTAGTGCATAGACGCTCGTTTTTGAAGCCACGTTGTAACCAAAATAATTCGTAATTTGATGTCATTTTTTTCTTTAATAGTGTAGCTTAGGTAATTTTTTAAATACTCGGAAAATCAGTGTAATAAAAACAGTGGCAGCCACACGTTTGTATCTTGTAGCCCAAATAATTCGTAATTTGTCGTAGAAAATACTTTATTGAGTTTATTGAATTCTTTTGGTGATAGTTGTTTTGTTCTTATTAAATTAATTATTTCTCTTATTAATAACGTTAGAATCTCGCAGTCTTTATGAACCTGAGCTTTCTAGCTCCAATATTATTCCCATTTAAGTATCACAGTCATGTGAGCAACTTTACTACCTTTATTTGTTTCATAAAAAAGTAGCACAGGTTATTGAAAATAGCGAGGTTTTATCTTTACTCATCTAATAAGCAAAAATAACCAAAAAGAAATTTATTGGTACTTAGTTGATGGCATTATTTAGAAACTAAATCTATATAAAAAATCAATTCATTTAATTTCCTACATTATTTCTTTTCCTATACTGGACATAAGTATTATTATTTTTATACATCTTTTCATTAATCTCGGTCTCTATGGTATAACTTGTTCTTGTAATTCCCCTTCTGGCAACTTTGCCAATCTAGATCTATTTTAATAAAGAAAACCAATTTATCACTTCTCCTTTCCCGAACTGAACTGGTTGGTACAGCTGCTCGAAAAACTGATAACGACAGAGACTGATTGCATTGAATTGGATAGATTTCTCGATTATATCTACTACATGTCGAGCTTTAGTTGAAGAAAGCTTTAAAGTAGGGTATAGCTAGTGCATCTAGCCAAACCAAACTTAATTAACAATAATAACAATCTTAATAATAGAAAACTGTAATAGAATATCTATCAGCGTGGGTAAAAAAGTCGACCATTTTTTTTCATTTTATACTATGAAAAAAAGGTTGGTAGACCCCTCAAAAAAATTCTCTGGAAGTATGAGCTTTTAATTTTAATAAGAAGGTCCTCCGTCTTTAAGTTTCCTATTTTTTCGTTTATTATTAGAAGGAAAAATTTATATCCCGGTATCTATTATTTTGAAAAAATATCTCGTCTCACATATTTGTAGGAACTTTTTAAATTGTTGAAATTTGAAAGTTGTTTTCGAAAACTGTTAAAATTATTGTGCATTGAAGTTTGACGATGAATATCTTTTAAACGGTTAATTTAATCGACTAATCATAGGAAACCATTTTTGTAGAGCAGTAAATTTTCTACAAAACAATGAGTGGCGCATTTCACAATGATTTTTTGTTAACGAGTTATAAAATTCATAAAAGAAATCTGTCTTAAAATAATCAAATTTCAACCCTTAGTAACTTTCTAACGGTGAGGTTTAGAAAAAAAATTGTAAATGACCTTTTTTAGAGAATTCAATTTCCTGCAAATATGTGGGACGAGATATTTTTCCAAATGGTTAGATACCAAGATATGATTTTTTTTTCTAATAATAAGGAAAAAAATAGAAAACTGAAAGGTGGGAGGACCTTCCTATAAAAAATTAAAAGCTCATAATTGGAGAGAATTTTTTTGAGTGTCTACCAACCTTTTAGAGCCTAAAAAAAATAGTCAGTTTTTTTGACCCACCCTAATATGTATTGCCTTGACAAATTGTCTCAACGATGCGGTGTAGTCAATGTAATTTCTCATTTGCCCTCTCTTATATTAAAGTTAATTTTATATTACTGAAATTTATCTTGTCTTTCTCTTTTTAGCAAAATTGTGTAGACAGTTTAATACCGATTAAGTGTCGTCTCTTGGTATTTTATCAAACAAGGCAGAATCAGACCCTATGTTGATTTAAAAAATAAATATTGTTTTTACGTAAGTAATCTCCCTACGAGAGGTGGCACATGTTTTTTGAAACATCCTGTATATTGCAATGCCTTCAAAAAAAAGGTTTTTTAGGTTTTAAAAAATAACTGAAGCTTTAATTAATACCATTTTGCCCCCTTGCTTTACAAAGTGTCTCTCAGGTTCATATTCTGCAATCATAATTTCACGGTATATTATTCTCATTTATTTAAATATGAATTAAGAAAAATAAGATAAGAATAATAAGATTTTTAATGTTTTCATTGTTTATAGAGACTATGAAACAAAATTTTTAATAATAACACTAAGTTAAAAAAAAATAACTTAGCGATATGAAATACAAAAAAAATAAAAAAGTGATTTTATTATTCTTCTTTTGTCTCAATATTTGACTAGTATCAGTATTCCACTTAATAAACAAACCGAAAACAAAACGTTTTCGGAGCTTTTCTTTATCAGTTCCTTTAGCATTTTTTAATTAACAGCAGTTTTTTGATGTAATTAACAAGTTTTCATGGTCATCAGAACAAAGCCAAATAAGTTAACCCTTTTTTCAGCAAAAATGTGAAAGCATAGGACTTGATAAAAGTATTCTAGAAAAAAATTATCGGGTTTCTTTATAAAAAAAACTGTCTCGCAAAATTTACTTTTAACATTGAAATTCAATATTGTATCCACAAAGCTGAAGGTAAAATTTTACAATATACAAAGTGGTCGAGTATGTTGTAGCAATTTTTTTTTAGTCTAAACTAATTACTTATTCGAAAAAAATAAAGTATCATCACAGTATTTTTACTTATAAAACTGTATTTTAACAAAAAAAAGCAAATTACGAATTATGTTATAAATACTCCCAAAATGTACTAAGTGATATAAGTTATTTTACTTGTATGTGTAGTAATAATTTAGAAAAAAACTACTCGTTTATTATAAACTCTAGTCTTAAAATAGGTTATACTTGTACTGAGCAATAAAAAATATACTAAGATTAGATTTACAATATAATTAATTTAATATTTATAAGAATTAAGGTTTTTATGTTGTTTCTGTGAATGCTCACTCTAGGTGGTTGTTGATAGATATTATGCACAATTCTGATTTGTACATACTAAGAATTTTGTAGCAATAAAAATAATTTTAAATTTTTATGTACATATTTATATGATATTAGACAGTAATTTTTATTGTAGGAATAAATAATAATTAATTTTGTAGTCACATTTTTTAATAAACATATTTTGTGTTAACTTTTCGTGTTTTTATTTTATATTAATACTTATTGAATATATAGGGTGAGAGAGAGAGAGAGAGAGAGAGAGAGATTCACGGCGGTGGCACGTTAGACGTTTGTGGAGAACCGGTCATTATTTTCAGTATTACAGTGTTGCCGCATCATTTGAAAAGTGATCTTTCTTATTTTAAATGAAACATCCAGTATATTCTTACTTTTTTGAAAACTATACCTCTCTCTAATAATTTCTGAGGTAAAAAATAAAATATGGGTAAAATTGACAAAAGCATTGGTAAAATAATTTAAAGAGTTAAACATTTTTAAAGTTTTTATTAATTTGTGTTATAAGTTAACGAAAGTAGATATATTCGAACTGTCTAAAGAAACCGACTGGATATTACACAGGGAGAGCGAAAATATTACTTAATTTTGTTTGTTATAAACTTGCTCGAATATTTATTATTTTAAATTCAACCCTATGTAGGTATATTATTTAAAAAATCTGTTGATTTTTTAAATAATAAAAAAATCAAACCTGTTGATTAATAAAAATGGTTTTCAACGATATAATATCATATTCCTATACCTAAATCTTCCGGTTTTTTCAGTAGAGCTATTTAAAAATTAATAATTCCATTAATATAGTCCCATTTCAAGAATTTCGTTGCCATTACAATTTTAGAAATTTAGCACGTAAACTCCAATTTATACTTATAAAGTTTAAATATTTGTCATGGTAACAGTTTTCTTTAAAAGAAACAATTAT